TTTTTTTTGGTTTTTCTCCGGTACCGGGAACTGAACTCACGACCTTGCGCTTGCCAGGCAGGCGCTTTTGCCGCTGAGCTAAATCCCCAGCCCCCTTTTCTTGGCATTTAACTAACATGTAGCTCGTCTGTTTGCTTTCCTAAAGGTTTTAAGAGTTACTGTTTTCCTAGGCATTAATGTTGTTGCCATAACACTGGGCATATGTCATTATTTCTACTCTACAGGGGTGAGACAACATCCAGGTGTTCGTTTATTTCACAGAATCTTTTCCTAGCTTCGCCCTCTTTACACACACTCTTGTCTCCATTGCATTTATTGAATTCACATTTGCGGGAAACAGCAGAGCAGTTTTAGACTTGTATTTGTTTTTCGTTTGTTTGGTACAAGGAATCAAACTCAGGACCTTGCGCTTGCAGGCAGGAGATGCACCACTGCGCTGTATCCCCAGCCCACATGTCTTTGTTTTAATTGCTGCCTCCTTTCCCTGTGTTTCAGTGAGAAGCAGGAAGAAAGCTCCTTGGCATCTGAGCCACAGAAAAGAAATGGTAATAATCTTTTTTGGCATTTAGAAAGGATTAAGTCAACATGATTCATTTATATTATGATGGTGACTGTCTTCTTCCAGAATCATACAAAGTAGTTAGGGTCATTGTAAGAGCCACGTAACTAGCCTTCCTCCCCTTCTCCAGTTTGCCATTCTTTATACTTCGTCTCCATCAGATGCACAGTGTAAGAGTAAGGCTAGGTCTGCTGGGCGTGCTGGTACATGCCTGTAATTCCAGCACTCTTGGAGGTTGAGGCAGGAGAAACAAAGTTTGAGCCTAGCCTGGACAGTCTAGCAACTTAGTAAGATGCTGTCTCAAAAGAAAAAAAGGCAGCCAGGCGTGGTAGCACACACTTGTAATCCCAGCACTTGAGAGACTGAGGCAGGAGAATCACTGTGTGTTCAAGACCAGCCTGGGCTACATAGTGAGCTTGAGGCCAGCCTGAACTACATAGTGAGACCCTGTCTCAAAAGAAAATTACAATAAAAGTCTTAGAAAGTAGCTCAGAGTTCAATTTCTAGTATTATGTTTTGTTTATTGTTTTTTGTTTTTTTGTTTTTTTCCGGAACTGGGAATCGAACTCACAACCTCGCACTTGCCAGGAAGGCTCTGTGCCACTGAGCTAAATCCCTAGCCCCCAATCTCTAGTATTATGACTAGGGAGAAGTTAAGGTTAGATCTGTTCTCAAGTGCCCTGTTAGTTGGCACAGTGAAATAGCCACTCAAACATTTGAGTGAGTGAGCACCTTTCTCAGAGTTTTTTTTTTTTTTTTAAAGAGGACATATTTCTTACCTAGATTTTATTTCTGGAATTAAAATAGCTAAAATTTGGGGATAGAATCATTTTACAGTATCATGATATAAATAAGACATAAATTTCTGCAAAGGCTCAAACTCAAGTATTTCTCTAGAAAAGTATATAAATATATTTAAGCATTTCTAGGATATTAAAATCTTATAAAAGTCACACTAGTTATTGTATTGCTTCTAGGCATTTTTTCAGTTGTAAACAATAATAATTAACAGCAAGAAAATCAAAAGTATGCAGTATCAAACTTTAAAAAGTTATATAGCTTGCCAGACGTAGTAGGGCATGCCTGTAATCCCAGTACTGGGAGACTCAGGCAAGAGGATCTGCTGGAGGATACCCGGAACTACATAGCAGGATCCTTTCTCAAAAACAAAAAAAATTGGGTGTGGTGGTGTACACCTGTAATGCCAGCACTGGGGAGGCTGAGGCAGGAGGATCCTTGTGAGTTCAAGGCCAGCCTGACCTGCATAATGAGACCCTGTCTCAAAAAGACCAAAAAAAAAACAAGAAAAAGTAATATACCTTTTTTTTCCACTTTTGATTTAGTCATGATCCAGGGCAGAGAGAATATTGAGAGCATATAGGGAGGAAAAATATTGTAGTAGGATCTATTGTAGTGAATGTGTCTCTTCATTTTGTAGGGTCCCAAGGGCCAGGCCAAGGCACTTGGTGGCTCCTTTGCCAAACTGAAGAAGAATGGCGACAGGTCACTGAGAGTTTTCGAGAAAGGACATCACTTCGAGAAAGGCAGCTCTATAAGCTCCTCAGTGAGGATTTCCTGCCTGAGATCTGCAACATGATCGCTCAGAAGGTATGCAGACACGGGCAGCACTGCCTTCCTATTTGTTAGGTCCCAGGACTGTAGTGATTAGGACTTGTTGGTATATTCCAGTGTCCTGGAAGTGGTACAGGCTGTCATCCTCTCTGAACTGGAGTGTTCACATGGGCTGTCATGCTACCCTCCTTCACTGTGGGTTTTATAATGTTCTCCGTACCCCCAAGAAGTCCTCTATGCCCACCAGCTAGTGCTTATAGTGGCTTTTCACAGCCTGGAACTAGCTCACCTGTAATGTTTCCTCAGTGGCACACCCTGAGCCTGCCACGTGTTCTCCTGTCACCCTGTAAAGTCTGTATATAATATTAGCCCAGTTTTTTATTTTGTTTTTAATCAAAAATCATTCTTACAGATATCTCCCCCACTAAGCACGAGGTTTTCATTGAAACCCTTCTTTTCCATGACATGTTCAAGTCTGCCTTCGCTTTCTTCCTTACCCTTCCGCTACTGCTCTGAAAAGCCATGTGCAAGTTTACTGTCTCCATGAACTGTCTAACCTAGCCTTAAGATTTTCTCCCTAACATGTCTCTTCAGGCTTTCTTGTATGTCCTTGTTAAGTTTAAGCTTCTTCAGTTTAGGTGTTGTGTCTTACTCTTCTTCGTAACACACCCCCCCCCCACGCACGTAATTTAATCTACTGATGAGTGTAGTGTGTCCAGTAATCTGATTATCTTCCAAAAGCCCCACTTCTGAGTGCATGCAGCTTCGGAAGGACATCTAGGTAGGAGCCATAAGAACAAGTGTGCTCCACCATACGTGGATATTTTTTGCTTTTTTCTGATGATATTCAACCTAACTTCTGGCAGATAATTCAAAAAGAAAAAAATCTTCAAGGCATAAAACTGATGATTTTCATAAAAATGTTCAAGAATATAGGTTCCTTATAGGAGAAAAAGATTAAACCTTAAATATAATTTTTGATAACCATGAAATTAGAAACCAGGAAAAGGATAGATTGGGTATTTTGTGGAATTTTTTTGTGGTACCAGGAGTTGAACTCAGGACCTTGCACTCACCAGGCAGGCACTTACGCCCCTGAGCTATATCCCCAGCTTCGATTTGGTATTTTGAAAGATACACAGCACTCTCACTATCAAAACTTCAGTAAAATAAAAGTGTTAACCAGGAAAAAAAGCAAGAGAATCTAAATTGTAAAGTAAAAATCTTAGCAAGTCAGTAATTAGAGAAGTACTTTAACAAAAAGATACCATTAAAACCCAGAGTTGATTGGGAATGTATCTGGGAACGTATTGGGAATGTATCTGTAAAACACATGTCTATCAAGGCCTGTGTTCCATCTGCAGGACCACAAAACAACAAAACAAGAGTCATTTGGATGTATTCACAAGGTGAGATTTTCTAAGCCTTCAAAGAATAGGTGAGTTGCCAGCAGGGCACATGCCTGTTCCTCCAGCACTCTAGAAGCTGAGGCAGGGGAACTTGGGCAGTGTAGTGACTTAGCAAAACCCTGTCTCAACATAAAACAATTTTAGAAAGGGTTGGAGCTATATCCCAGTGTGAATGCTTAGCAGTCAATCCCCAGTTACTGCCACTGCCCTTCTCAATAAAAAGAGTAGATAATTTTTAAATATTTCAAAAATGAAATGTGTGTGATGTAGCTCAGTGGTAGAGCACCGGCATAGCATGTATAAAGCCCTGGTTTTGATCCCTGGCACGACAAAAATCCAAAACAAAACAGACAGCCAGACGTGGTGGCACACGCCTGTAATCCTAGCACTCGGGAGCCTGAGGCAGGAGGATTGTTGCGAGTTCGAGACCACCCTGGGCTACAAAGTGAGCTTGAGGCCAGCCTGAACTGCACAGTGAGACCCTGTCTCAAAAAAGACAAAAAACAAAACAAAACAGACAAATGAAGGAGGAAAAGTTCAAAGGTACCCTGATCATTTAGACATAAGTATCTTTCGTCTCATTCCTGAGACAGTTGAGTACATTATTGTCATTCAGTAGAATGTATGTCACGTTAATACGGACAAGTGAAAGCTACTTTACCAGAAGAATAATCCATCATAGACAGGCTTGGTGGCACACCTGTAATCCCAGCATCTAGGAGGCTGAGGCAAGAGGATTCCTGGGAGTTCGAGGCCAGCCTGGGCTACATAGCTTAAGACTCTGTCTCAAACAAAACAAAAAAAAATCCCAGCATTTTAAGATTTAAAATTTTAGGGATGTAAATTTGATGAAAATGTCTATTATTTAGAGTTTCATAATAGTGCTCCATAACTATACTACTTCATCAGAAGCATATGCTGGCTTACTGAAGACTCAGATTCCCAACACACTACACTATTCTGTGCCCTCATCAGAAGTTTTTGAGATAGTGCCTTGTGCCCTGCATTTGTGGGGTCTCTCAGATGATTATTTTGTATGCTTTAAAGAAAGTGTTGGAGCTGAGGATATAGCTCTATGGCGCGGCACCTACCTGGCAAGCATGAGAGAGTTCAACTCTCGGTGAAAGCCTATCTGTTTATGGAAAGAAAGGCCAAGTATAAACCTGAATACTCACTTGGCTAATACATTGAGAATCGCTCTCAGCCAAATCTCTGCATAATAATTTTTTTCCAAAATAATAAATAAATGTAAAGAGGGTAAGACAAGAACAGTGAATGAGGGGCTGGGGATTTAGCTCAGCGGCAAAGCGCCTGCCTAGCAAGCGCAAGGTCGTGAGTTCGGTTCCCGGTACCGGAGAAAAAACAACAACAACAACAAAAAACAAACAAACAAACAAAAAAAAAAAACAGTGAATGACTGGCCCCTACCATGTATTGTCACATGAATCAGCATAGTGGAAGTATCTCAGGTGGCCTTTAGTAGATCAGCTAGCACAAATGATTTGCTCAGAGCTGTAGAGTTCTTGACTATCATTGCTGTGTTTAGCATTCAGCAGCTAAATTGTATGTTCAGTAGTTATTATAATATTTTGAATATCTGTTTGTGCCCATTGTACTTATTACACTTAACTATTACTCATAAAATATGGCAATAAAAATTTTATTGGACTTGGAGTGTAGCTTGCCTAGCATGTGCAAAACCCTAGGTTCTGTCCCCAGCACTACAAAAGAAAACAGAAGAAGCAGTTATTAAAAATGAGTTTCTTGGGGCCGAGGAGATAGCTCAGTGGTAAAGCACCTGCCTGGCAAGCACACGGTCCTGAGTTCGATTCCCAGTACAAAAAAAAAATTTCTTCTGAAAAGTTGGCTGTCAGAATAAAGCAGTAACAGATTGTATGGGGAGGAGCCATTAAAGTCTTCAGGATTCTGCTTTTGGTCTAAGTGTGCTGAATGTCTGTCTTACTTTCACTTTAAAAAACAAAACAAAGACCAGATAAAGGTTTAGAGCATGTGTGAACAAATCACAGGAAACCCGTTGGTGGGTCCTGTATTGTATGACTGGTAAACGATAGTACGTTTATACTGAGGTAAAGTGCTTGAAGTGTATACTTTTTTATTACTCCCTACTTTATCTATGTTAACTTACCCATCCGTTCTAGCTGCATTAACCAAGAAGGACTTTCCTCTAACAGTGACAACAGCCTATGATTCACCTGTGAACATCAAAACATACTTCAGTAAAAAGAAGCTTGATGCTCAGAAAGAGACACCATTGCATCAAGATGTGTTGTGAAAAGGAAACACCAACCTTGGATAGGGCACTATCTCAATTTCTGTTTTTGTATTAGCAAAATGAAATACTGTCACTTCACAGAAGCCTTTTTAAAAAATCCATGTCAGTATATGCAGCACTCAGTAGGCACTCAGCTCCATGGTTTATGCTGGTAAATAATTGATGAGAACTCTTGGTAGAAAAGTAAATCCACGTTTCTTAACAGAGTAAATACAAGTAGAGAGATTTGATAAATCTTGGAGGGTATGACATTAAACTTTCAGAGGACCAAAAGGTAAGGTCTGCTGTGTATGGTGGTACACGCCTGTGATCCCAGCACTTGGGAGACTGAGGCAGGAGAATCACTTCAAGTTCGAGGCCAGCCTGGGCTTCATATTAAGACCCTGTCTCAAAAAGAAAAGGTAAGATCTGCTTTGCTCACACAAAATTACAACTTTTTAAATCGAAAGGGATATAAACTACTGAAAGTGTTTATGGTAGAGAAAGTGATAATGTAGACAATAAATAATATTTAGACAGCTAATAAACATTAGGCCCTGAGATTTAAATAGAGATACACCTTTACCCTCTGTATCAAGAGTGGCGTGTGCCTCCTTAGTAACTTTTACATGTGACAAAGTTGGAATGAAACTGGTAGAGGATTTTAGTTGCTGTTAAACTGATACAATTCCTTTGCAAGACAGTTCCATGACAAATTTGCACGTTTAAAGTTGAAGAGATCCTTAGAATCTTAAAACATAAAGGAAATGCTCGTGAGCATATTGAGGAAACTGCTCGGGTAGCTTTGGGGAAAAGTGCCTGAAGATGATCATGATCTGCTTTGATACGTGGAATTGCATTTGCACCGAGTTGCTTAGTCTCTGCTTTGGGAACAGAAAAGCTTCCTAGAGATGCTGATCCATCACAGCTGCCACCATTACTTTACAGTGAGTTTAAACTGTATGAGTATTATCATTAGGTTTTTTGCATCCTGGGTTGCCCTGTCTTACTGATTCTTCAAGAAGTCTCAAGACTTTGAATAAAGTGGTTCCAGAACCAGACCTGGGAAATGTTGAATTTTGAAGCCAGGACCACAGAAGCTATACTCTCTGATCCAAACCCCCTTGCCCACACCTTTTCTTTTAACAGTTGGTACAAGGTGAAGCTACAGGGCTCATAACACAGAAATTCTAAACACGGGCTGATACACCTTGGCCTTTCCAGCACTTGACTAGAATTGAATTGTTGTCAGAAATCCTTCAGTCTCTTTCCGGCCGTTTTCTTAGGCTGTAATCTTTTCGGGTGAGCTGTCTTACTCTGAGTCACTGCTTTTCTCCACTCTCACTCATTTTGCGTCCCACCCTGGCAGCTGCCCTCACTTCTCACTACTGCCGCTGAGCTGCCTTTTAAGGGCCAGTCTGCCCCCAGCTGCTCCTGATGCCCTTGTTCAGTGCCACTCCCTTCAGCTGAAGCTGATAAAACATGGCCTCCCTTAATCATTTAAGGGGAAGGATTTTTACGTTTAAACGTGGGAGTTTCTTGGCATGGTATTGTCAAAGCAGACACTTGGTTGTCTGTGTTGTGTGTGTTCTTGTTGTTACCAGAGAATACATCTGCTTAGTACCTTGCATAGCTGAATGGTTATTTCCCTCGGTCATCTTTGGAAGGATACTTTGGGCCCTCCATCAAGGTAAAGCAATTACCTGAGTGCCTTAATGGTCATTTTTCTATTGGCAGCAGCAGCAGCAACAGCAAAAGCAGTAGCAGTAGCTGAGAACACCCTAATCTATCTTTTCCTTTCTTTTCCTCACTTCTAACTGTAGGGAAAACGTCCACAGCGTACAAAGGCAGAGTTGCAACCTAGGTGGATGTCTGACCACTTGTCCGTCAAATCCATCAAACGAGAGGTGAGTGTGAGAGAGTAGAGAGAAGGCATTTTCGTTATTCGGAAAGGATAGTCCCGTTACATTTATTTTATTCCTGCATCTGTATTTTCCTTTACTTCAATCTTAATTGAGGATTTTTATAGGGAAAACGCATTCCTGTAAGTCTTCAATGACTTATAAAAATAATTCAGAAAGTCACATTCTGTTGGACTTTAAAATCTCTTGGGATGATGGTCATTTAAGGTAGATGATACAGTAGATAAAGAAAGTTGATGTATGCAAACATGAAAGAAGTTGGAGCTATGCAAAGAGAAGGGAACTTGGACCGGCAGAGTTGTGTCTGACCTGAGCTAGTACAGTGACTGGGATTTTGATGGTGGGGCACTGGGGCAGAGGGTATTCCTCACTACAGGAGTAATGTAGACAAAAGCACAGAGGCTGCAGAGTCCATAGTGTGGTCAAAAAACAGTACATTAGCAGGTGGCTGTCATATAAGATGATTTGTCACATTCAGTGGAAGAAAATGCTGGGCAAATCAGATTTTGGAGTCTGTATCTTTAGTGCGTAAATGGAAGGGAGATTATGTCATCAGATCTTTGCATTGGGAAGATAACTTTTGGTCACTCTGGTGCCTGATTTAGTAAGGAAAAACTGGCGAGTGTAACAGCAATTCCTCCAGCAGGATTTAGCAGTGAAATTCCTCTGATTTGAAACAGAAGTCTAGAATGGAAGAGATGGCACAGGCCTTTGGTGAGGGTGCAGAGAAACCTATTCATATGGAAGTCAGAGCTGCAAGAGGTTCGACAGACAGTAAAAGTCTTGAGAGCTTTTTTTGTTTTTTGTTGGTTTGTTTCTTTCTACAAACTCAGGATCTTGCACTTGCCAGGCAGGCACTATACCGCTGAGCTATATCTCCAGCTGTTTTGTTTTGTTTTTTGAAACAGGGTCTCAGTCTGTAGTTCAGACTGGCCTGGAGCTCACTGTGTAGCCTGTGCCTGCCTCAAACCTATGGTGATCCTCTTGCCTCGACTTCTGAGTGCTGGGATTACAGGCGTGCACGCCCGCGCCCGGCCTCTGGAGCGTTAAAGTCGCTAGTTTTTCAGAGACTTATTACTCCGCTTGCCCATCTCAGCACAATACCCAGTACTCACAAGTCAGAGGAGAGGTTTAATTTGTTTCACAAAAAATAAGTGGTTATTGACCACGATGTTACTTGCCTTTGGGAGGGATGACAGTAAAAGAAAACAAGTAATGAAAAGGTAAAAACTAGCCAGGTGTGGTGGCGCACGCCTGTAGTCCCAGCACGCGGGAGGCTGAGGCAGGAGGATCGTTGGGAGTTCGAGACCAGCCTGGGCTACAAAATGAGCTCAAGGCCATCCTGAACTGCATAGCGAGACCCTGTCTCAGAAAGACAAAAAAAACAAAACAAAAGAAAAAGTAAAAACTGAGAACTTACGGCAGATCCCTGTTCCATTTTTAATTGGAGATCCACCATGGACATGAGCAATGTGAAGGAAAGGAGGACGAAGTGGGTGTGAGGCTGACTGGTGAGACGAAGCTCCTCGGTGCAGGGGCTTGCGTGGAGTCGTTTCTCCTGAGACATGAGGACAAGAAAAGAGCAAAAGCTTGTGAAATAGGAAGAAAATGTTCAAATGGGGGAATGGGAAGTAGGGAGGGGAAAAGGAAGAACAAGAAAAGAACGCAAAAATGGAAACAAAGCCTTTGTAAATAAGAAGGGGAAGAAGGATTGAAGGGAGGGGAGAGAGATGGGGAAAAAAGAAGAATCAAGATATATCATGGACAGGACTGGGGAGATAGCTCAGCAAGCGCAAGATCCTGAGTTCAGTTCTGGTACCAAAAAAAAGATATCATGGACAGGTACAAATTCCTTATGAATGTGATCATTATGTGTACCTAAAAAGTTTCAGTAAACTTAATTTAAAAAAAAAGAGAGAGAGCATAAGTGAAGACAGAATTATCTTGAGGACAGGAGGAGAGCAGGGGCTTCAGGTAGAAGTTGAAGGCAGTGTTAGGTGCGGGCCGGCAACTAAGTAGTACCAAGAGGGTTTTTTTCTCAGCAGCACCCAGGAGCCAGTTATGGGTATTTTTATTTTGTATTGTAGCTTATAGTAAAGTGACTTTACAATTACACTGTAGCAAGGGACATTTTTGGTACATATTCTTATTCACTGAGATTTAAAATTGGAAAGGTAGGAGTGAAAATGCGGCATAAGAAACCCAGCTGGCAGCTAAGACTGCATGTGATCTTGGTGGCAAACAGAGTGAAAAAAGGAAGAGGCCGGGAGTAAGGAAGGGGAGGCAAGCAAGGCACAAGGGTCTAGGAAGCCAGTTCTGCTTAGGCTCTGTTGCTGTCCTAGGAAGGCTGCAGGATCAGGGCAGGGCAACCCCCTAAGCTATCTCTGTCCTCAGAAGGCCTTTCTGCATTTGTTTGTCCACTGTGTTCCAGTGTGAACTTAATCGGATTAGCACTCACAAGAAAGTTTTATCTTAGGACACAGTCAGGCTGGGGATATAACTCAGTGGCACAAGTGCCTGCCTAACAAGCGCAAGGTCCCGAGTTTGATTCCCAGTACCCAGAAAAACCCCCAAAAAACTAAACTTAGGACACAGGCTCCCTGTGATGTAACAGAGTTTTTGTTTTGTTTTGTTTTTTGCCTTATAGTATTTTCATGGCTCTTAAAAGTCACGTCAAGCCGGGCGTGGTGGCACACGCCTGTAATCCCAGCACTCAGGAGGCTGAGGCCGGAGGATCTTTGTGAGTTTGAGACCAGTCTGAGCTACAAAGAGAGCTCAAAGCTAGCCTGAACTGCATAGTGAGACCCTGTCTCAAAAAGATAAAAAAGAAAGTCATGTCAGCATTGTGGTGTATTAAAAAGATCTTGTTATTAACTCAGTGTACACACTACCATAAACATTGAAAATGGAGAAGCTGATAATCTATAACTTCATGGGTTTGAGGGATTGGGGGGGTGTTGCTGTACTAGGGATTGAACCTGGGCTCTTCACACAGAACTGCATAACCTACTGTATCTTTTGAGACAGGGACTTACTACATTGCCCAGCCTGGGCTCAACCTCCCAGAGTGCTGGGATTACAGGTGTGTGCCACCACGCCTTGCTTGCTTTGGTATATCTCGCTTTAGCAGTTCCTTTCTTCAGCTCATGGATGTGTTATTACCAGGTCAGTGACTTGGCATTGAGCTCCTTTGGGGTGCCGGTTCTGCAGTGGCCGGCTTCCCGTATCCCAGCCTCCTCTCACTCCTCTAGTCACTGGTTTGGAAATGCTCGTTGGTGATTGGAATCCGGCCATAATTTTCAGATGGTTTTCCAGCTCATCTTGCCAAGTTGGACTCTTTCCATTCTATTACTTTGATAGTTGCTGTTCACTGCCCTGGGCCATCCTCGGTACCCTCTCAATGCCGATTGTGTAGGCATCGGAATAGCACTGGAGGCTCTCAGTGGCTGCAAGCAGAGGTTTAACATCAAACACTAACATCTATCTCTTACTCTAGGCGGGCTTTGTTGGTTTGTTTGTTTTTTCTTTTAATTCTGCTCTTTAATTTGAGATACAAGAAACCACAATACTGCAGAGATTTGGGGATATTTATTGTAGAACCAGATATCCTGGAGGAAACCTTAATGGCAGTGTGAGTTTTGTGGTTTTATTTCTAAACCAGAAATCGTCAGTTCTTTCAAGCATTGGTAATTTGAAGTTGAATATTAGGGCCTCAAAAATATTTTAGTTGACTCTTGGGGAAAATATCAGAGAAGGGACTTTGTCTCAGTGAAACCCCCATGGGGCTGCTGTGAGTGTTTCTGCTGAGGAGCTCTGGACCCTGCTGTTGCTAGGGAGATGCTGGCATAATCCCAGGCATGCGCCTTGATGGTCAGGGGGCCAGTGAGTCTCAAACCTGCCTTGAGAGGGAGCCCTGGCCTTGCTAAAACCAGAGATCCTGGCTAATAACAGTGTAGAGAATTTCAGGGGCTTTTAAATTAGCTTCTCGTTAAGATGCCCTCTTGATTCTAACAGGCCTCTTAGGAAAGTATGTAAACACCAACCCTTAGCCCATGTGCAGCTGGCCCCTTTTAAAGAAAAGCATTGCAGCACGAGGCACCGTGCGGGGCTTCCCCACACATACCCTGTTCAGTTTCTTTGGTTTGGTTTTTGCTCATTTGGCCACAGCAGGCCTTCGGTATTGAAATACTGCACAGGCACCCTCAGGAAGTGAGTGCTGCCGTCCCAGTGTGCTCATTAGCACTTGCTTTACCTCGCAGCGGCTTGGTGCTCGGCGCTGGCACTGAAATCCTAAACGGACTCTCTGTACATTGCACAGCACAGATTTCCTTTTGGTGTGAGTGGTGTCATTTATGCAAAATAATTGTCATAATTCACATGGTGTGGAAAACTTAAAATTATATGCTCATAAGAGAAAAGGAGTTGAGAAATGTGAGGCAAAATGTAGTCAGCCGAGCCACGGGGAATTTCACCTGTTCCAGCACTGCTGGGTGGGGTTCTGGAATCGGGCGGAGTGGACATAGGGTGCAGGTGTCACAAGTACAGGGCGTGATGGGCCACAGCTGCCGGGGTCTGCAGCCGGGGTCTGCAGCCGAGGCAGGCGCAGGTTCCTGACGTTCAGGGAGCTTTGAGCTTAGTGCTCAGAGATGCTGTAACCCAGCTTCTTCCATTAGTATAGCCTGTGTGCTTAGCATTTATGTGTTAATGTATGGGAAAAAACGCATTAGCTGGTTCTGTATATAAGCAGGATAAATACATGCATGAAGACATTAAGCAGATTGGTGGTTGCCAGACACTGGAGGAGCAAGATAGGAGATGGCTACTTCGTGAAACTGTCTCAAAAAAACAAAACAATCAAACCCACCCTAATAGAGAAACTTGTTTCTCCTCCTGTTGATGCTACTATGTGGTTCAGACTGGCCTTGAACTCCCTATATACCCCAGGCAGGCCTCAGACTCCCAGTAATTTCCTATCTCAGCCTCCCAAATGCTGGAATTACAGGTGTGTGCCACCACACCTGGCTTTGCGTATATTTTGTTAATGATACATTTCTTTTTTGGTTTTTTGAGACAGGGTCTTTGTGTAGCCCAGGTTGCCCTCATCTCACAGCAATCCTCCTGCCTCAGCCTCCCAAATGATACATTTCTAAATCTCTGATTTAAGAGCAACAATCATCCAAGGCATGATGGCACATGCCTGTAATTGCAGCGCTTTGGGAGGCCAAGGCAGGAAGACTGGAAGTTCAAATCCCACCTGGGCAATTTAGTAAAGCCTTGTCTTCTAAAAAAAAATTTTTCTTTAAAAGTAATGTGTCTTGGTTACCTTTCTGTTGTTGCGGACAAAATACCTGACGCCCCAAATTAAGAAAGGGGATGGGTTTATTTAGCTCACAGTTTATGGAGGTTTCAGTCCATAATCAGTTGGCTCCAAGGCAGGGTGGCATGACAGAGGGGCAACAGTTCGTGGTGGTGGAAAAACAGCAAAAACAGTAAGAGCAAAAGTGAGGGTCCTCTTTGCCTGCCTTCTGTTGATTGTATGCAGGCTGCCTGCTCTCAGGTGGGTGTAGCCCTCAGCATATCTGTGTCCCCCCCTTGCATAGGCTCAGGATGTTTACAAAATAAGGACCCTGGTCCCTGCTAAGTCACTTAGTCAAACTTGTAAACTTCTCAAGTTGACACAATGAACAACATCCTAGAGCAGTAAGGGCATGTCCTCTACACCCCAGGATGTAGAGCTGCTGAGTTACTTAGTTAAGCTTTTAGACTTCTCAAGTTGATGCAGTATATCAACCATTGCCCTGGGCTGGGGATGTTGCTGAATGGTAGAGCATCCCTTGGTTCTATCCCTAGTGCTAGAAAGGAGTAGAGGGTGGGGTCAGAAGAAAGGCAATCACTGGAGAACACAGTGGGCCCAGGAGGGTAGGGAAATTGATCAGTGTGTGCAAGGTTGCAATTCGGTAGGAGTAAGAGCGTGTGATGTGCCGTTGCTTATTCCACATAGGGTGAGTGGAGCTCAGGATTAGGTAGTGTAGCGCCTGCCTGGCAAGCGCAAGGTTGTGAGTTCAGTTCCCGGTACCGGAGAAAAACCAAAAAAAAAAAAAAAAAAAGGATTAGGTAGTGTATAGCTGAAAAAGTAGAACAGATTTTTAAAATATTTTTGCCATAGTGATAAATGCTTAAGATAGATATATTTAATTCGATTCACTATATTGATTTTTAAAGAATATGTGGTACTTCATTAATACGTACAATTTTGTGTTTTCTGTGTAGTAATAGTAATTGCAGGATTTCATATAGAGGAAATTTATAGCTTAATAAAAAGGTGTAGAAAAGTATCACTCAGAAGTTATGACCTTTATTTTCCTAATGCTTCATCAAATTTTTCTTTGTAAATTAAAATTTGTTTCTAGGGGCTGGGGATTTAGCTCAGCGGCAAAGCGTCTGCCTGGCAAGCCTGGCAAGCGCAAGGTCGTGAGTTTGGTTCCCGGTACCGGAGAAAAACAAAAACACAAAAAAGAACAAAAAAAAAATTGTTTTTGTCTGTAATCTTAAAAGTCTTTTTGGTATGACTTAGATCAGTATTGGTTGTTTGACTGACCTAACCAACAATCAGCAAGCTGTTTATTAAAAAAGTTAGTAACAGCCAAAGTAGGCTGTACGTTGGGAGGGTAAGACAGGAGGATCCCCAAGTCTGAGCCCAGCCTGGACACTTAATGAATAGAGACCTTGTCTGAAAAGTAAAGGCTGAAGATACAGACTAGTGGGAAGTCCCTGGGTTCATTTTCCAATAATACTGAAAAACAAAAAACCAACATGCAGTATCTCTTCAGACAGAAGTATTTCTCAGGCCAGGCCTGGTGGCACTCATCTGTAATCCCAGCACTTGGAAAGCTGAGGAAGGAAGATCACCACAACTTTGCAGCTAGCCAGCCTACTAGTGAGTTCACAGTCTACATTATATAGCGAGACCCTGTCTCACAGAAACGAAAAAGTATTTCTCACATGGATAATGCTGAAATCTGACAAATGCTCTCTACTTTTACAGGCAGATTTATGTGCACATCTTTTTTTTTTTTTTTTTTTTTTTTCTTCTGGTACCAGGAATCGAACTCACAACCTTGCACTTGAAAGGCAGGCACTCTGCCACTGAGCTAAATCCCCAGCCCTGTGCCCATCTAATAATTGCTTCAAGATACAGTATTAAACTAAGATTTTCCTTAAATAATTCAACCTCCAATAAAAAGGATAATTTATGTGCAAAAAAAAATTATGGCTGCGTGTTTGGTACATGCCTCTAATCCCGGCACTTGGTAGACAGGGAAGAAGATCGCCGCCAGTTTTAGTCTACCCTGGACTACAGAATGGGTTCAAGGCCAGTCCAGACTATCTAGTGAGACCCTGTCTCAAAAACAGACAAAATCAATTGTCGGATGGCTTTGGTTTATTTGGTTGGTTGGTTGGTTGGTTTTGTGGTACTGGGGGTTAAGCTCAGAGCCTTCACACTGAACTCTGTCTCCAGCCGCGTGCAAGCGTGCGTGTGCATGTGTGTTGCTAAGCTGCCAGGACTGGGTTAAACTTGCAATCCTCCTGTCTCAGCATCCCAGAGTGCTAGGATTACAGGCATGCACCATCATACCAAGCTTGATGTTTTTTTTTAGAATGTAAACAGTGTCACAGGGTACATCCATAGGTTTTTCACTTGGAATATAAATAAATTATCAAATTTTAGGTAGTTACACTCATTTGTGTTGTTTTATATTTGAACATTTCTGCTTCATTGTTATCAAATCAACTGTTCATAATCCATTTCTAATATCTCACCTTAAACATTCACAAATTCTAATCCTTAGGTACTTGAATATGTTTTAATTTTAGACTTTAAACAAGGATTACATGGGGCTAATAAAAAGTTAATGAGAGTTAGGTTATTTTAGAATATGGATTGTTAGTTTAACTCGCAGTTTATTTGGAAAGGGTTGTTCTGAGCTCCAGATGTTGATAGAATGTGGAGACAACATGTAGACTATTGAAGGCCTGCTCATTCCAGTTTAGGTAATGTTACCATTTTCGTGTTCACACATTTGCTCCAAGCCTTTCTGCACACATGTATCACAAAACTGAGATCATATTGGACAACTTTGTAGCTTGGGTATTTTCTCTCTGGTGTGAGTTTGCGTATTCATGTTCAGTTTGTTTTGTGGGAGGCCACCATTGCTTTGTAAGACGTCTTGATATATTTAGAACATGTCTTCATATTCATTGCAAAAAGTTACAGAAATATTCTTTTCATAGGTTCTTTCCTTGCTAAAGAGAGTATCACATCCTTAATTAGGCTTCACCTGAAGTGGGATCATCTCTGAAGTAAACGTCAGTTTTGCCTCTCTTGATTTTTCTGTATTTGCAGCCTGTATTCTTTGTTACATGCAAAGGCATGACCTTATCGATAGCAGTGTTCAAAAAAGTAATGCGAGGGCAGGAGATATAGCTCAGTGGCACAGCGCCTGGCTGGGAAGTGGGAGGTCATGAGTTCAATTCCTGGTACAAACAAACAAATAAAGTATTTAATTCTAGTTCTCACATCTGCATAAAAGTTGGAATAAATTAAAAAGGAATAACTTCCATGTTCTAGGCTACAGAATGGCTCAGAATTAGTTTTATTGGAGAATATGGTTTGTAAAATTGTCAAAATATTATGAGGGTAATGGTTCTTTATCCATAATTTACCTTTTATTTTGTTAGTTTCCTTTTTTAATTTTCATTTTTATTAATACATACTTGCAGCACAAATACATTTATCATGGGGCATTGGCAAATGTGTGTAACACACCTTAATGGTTTTTATTTTGCTACATTTCTTAAGTCACATTCCTAGTGATCATGTGCAAACTTTATGTTAATGTTGTTTGGGTTGAAAATAAGGGGAAATGCTGACTGGTCTTTGAATAACTTTCAAGACTTTATTGTCTTCTTTAAAGCTCTCTTTCTTTCTTTCCTTTTTTTTTTTTTTTTTTTTTTTGAGACAGCATCTCACCATACAGTTCAGGCTGGACTTGCGCTCACTTTGTAGCCCAGGCTGGTCTCAAACTCAAAACTATCCTCCTGCCTCAGCCTCCTGAGTACTGGGAGTACAGGCATGCGCCACTGTGCCCGGCTTTATTTTTTATTTTGAGACAGTGTCTCATTAAGTCACTAAATTGCCTAGGCTGGGCTCAAACTTGGAATCTCTCTGTCTTACCTCCCAGAGTGCGGGGATCATATGTATACACTACCTACATGGTTTCCTTTCTGCATATTAAGAAAAGTACAAAATATAAAAGTTTTAAAGTAGTGCATCATTGAAATTATGAATCTGAGTTCTGTCTAGTGATTGTCTTTTCATCCTTAGTATACTTAGATGAATGTACTTCTAAAATTTTCACTTTTATCAAATAATCTAGAGGAGTGGTTTTTCTGAACTGCCTCAGTTTCTCCTCTTTCGTTCATCATGTTATCCTTATGATTGTCTCTTACAGAGAATGAATTATACCAATCGGAGGTCTCAAAACTTTTGCCCAGTTCTGAAAACCCATTTTGAGCTGAGAGTGATGGCACACATCTATAATGCCAGCACTTTGGCAGGCTGAAGCAGGAAGCCGGCAGGTCCACCCTAGTCTGGGTAACTTAGTGATTTAGTGCAATCTGTCTCAAAATAAAAAATAAAAAAGGACTGTCACAACTCAGTGCAGATGCCCTGGGTGCCATCCCTGCTACTGCCGAAACAAAGCAAACTGTTGTTTGTTAATGTTAATAAATCCATACATATATATTAAAGATGATAAAATCAGCTTGTTTCTGTGCTGTAAATCCACCAGCTAAGTTACCTACCAGTACTTCTTGAATTCAGTGGATTAGCTTTTAACTCAAAAGGAAGAACCTTTCATTTTGCCGTCAGCTTGATCTGTTCCTTGGCTCCTCACAGGAGACTCCAGTGCTCACCAGGATAGAGAAGCAGAAGCGCAAGGAAGAGGAAGAAGAACGGCAGATTCTCCTTGCTGTGCAGAAGAAGGAACAGGAGCAGATGCTCAAGGAGGAGAGGAAGCGGGAGTTGGAGGAGAAGGTCAAGGCCGTAGAAGGTGTGTGGGCTCCTTCCCAGGCCACAGATGTTCGTGTTTGGGAGCAGCTGTCTTGTAGCCATGACCGGAACAAGCCGGGGACCATTCTTTGTCTCATCTGTTTCTGGCTGTTTCTTTTTAGTTAGTTGTCGCCTGTATTCTGTCATACTGACTTACCTGGATCCAATCTCTGTCTGTCCTTTTTATTCCCGATAAAGCACTTGTGTTTGTCATTCTTTGTGTATCTTTCAGTATCTTGCTTGTTGTTTAGATCTCTATGTCCCACGTAGAATAGAAAAAAAAAAAAAAATAGTGATGACAACTGATTTCACAGGGTTTGTTTGGTTTTTGTTTTATATTACATGGTTGGTTGGTTGGTTGGTTTGGGTTTGGGCTTTTTGGTTGGTTTTGTTTTTTCTGGTACCGGGAATCAAACTCATGACCTCGCGCTTGCCAGGCAGGTGCTGTGCCACTGAGCTAAATCCCCAGCCCTAGGGTTTGGGCTTTTTGTTTTTGAGATGGGTTATAATATGTAATCAGGTCTGGGGTTGAACTTGCTATGTAGCCCAGGCTGGTCTTCAACTCCATCCTCCACCCTCATCCTCCCAAGTGCTAGAATTATAGGGCATGTACTGCGTATCTAGATACAGTTTTATCATAGATAAAATATGCATAAGAAATGTCTCAGATTTTTATTTAGATTAGGTATAGTTCTAAAGTATTATTTGGGCAAAGTAATTTTTTTCAATAATAACTCTAGTTCTTCGTCTTGCTGTAATTGTTTTTCATTTATAATTCTACAGTGCCAAGGATAACAAGTGTTTTCTTGTATAGCAGTCATATTTATAAGCTGACCCTGATAAGTTATGTGATAATAGGTCATTTGGCACAGTTAGATATAGACCAAGTTTTTTCTTTGCCTTGCCTCCCTTCTTTGTGATTGCAGTTGTGGTGGTTTGGTTTTGCTATATAGTCCAGGCCAGCCTCAAACTTACAATCCTCCTGCCTTAACCTCCCACATATTGAGTGTTTTCTTTTAAATAAATGTGTACCTTTAATCCCAGCACCCAGGAGGCTGAAGCAGGAAGGTCACAAATTTGAGGTTAGCTTTCGCTAAAGAGCAAGATTGTGTCTCTGAATGAATGGATTAGTAGATGCCTAATTAGTAGATGCACCTGGTTTGTGCTAGCACTGTTGGAGGTAGATGTAGTGAACAAGAAAATGTAGTCCTTTTGTGGAGTTTCCATTCTAGTGGTGAGAAGATGGGGAGCAGACAGAGTGCTGAGGCATTCTAGATAGTGGTAATATTTAAAAGAAAACAGCCATATGCATGGGTAGAGTGACGTGGTGGTAGTAACATTTAAATAGGGCTATCACAGAGTTCTGTCTGAAGAGGTGACATTCTCGGTAAGTGAGCAGGTTGCCCTGTGTCTGTGAGGGACAGAGCATCACGGGCAGTGGGAGAGCAGGCGGATGCACAGGCTCAGTCGCACTCGCCCCTTGCAGATCGCGCCAAGAGGAGAAAGCTCAGGGAAGAACGGGCATGGCTGCTGGCCCAAGGCAAGGAGCTGCCCCCAGAGCTCTCCCATCTGGACCCCAGCTCTCCCACACGGGAAGGAAAGAAGACAAAGGACCTGTGAGTATTTAATACCAGCAGCAGCAGGAGCACCTGGCCCTCTGCCGATAAACATTCCCCTCATTTAATCCTTACAACAGCTCTGTGTGCTCAGCAATGGCATCTCCATTTCAAAGTTGAGAAAACTTAGTAATGGACAGGGTGAGCCTTAAATCCCCAGCCTCAACCTGACCCAATGACTTGGCCACCCAGACCCAAACCCAGACCAACCTCTCCTCCCCTGCCCCTTCCTTCCCTCCCTTCCCTCCTGTTTCCTGTTGCCACGCTGTAGAAGCACAGTGATATTTTTGCACAAAATTCTTATTGTCCTAACTTGTAAATTTAATGAAAACCAATTCAATGATTATATAAAATTGTTTCTTGGAAAGTGCAGAACTGCTTACTCTAAATCATAACTTCCCTTGACATTACTAGGTACCGTCTGTGTCTTTATTGCGTACTTGAAATTTAAAAGCAAATATGTAAATGTTCATTGCTAATGAGTTAATTCTGTCACAGGCTTTTGTGGACTTTGTTTTGCTTTGGTTTTTGATACAGGGTTTCACTATAGAGTCCAAACTGGCGTCAAACTTCAGATCCTCCTGCAAGTGGTAGTGGGGTTCCAGGTGTGCACCACCACACTTGCCATTACTCTCTAGATCACAGAAACGTTCATGAGCCCAGAATAAAACCTTAAGAATATGCTCTTGCCACATGTGGTGGCGCACACCTGTAATCCCAGCACTTGGGAGGCTGAGGCAGGAGGATCACTGTGAGTTCAAGGCCAACCTAGGGTACAAAGTCACTTCAAAACCAGCCTGAATTGCATAGTGAGACCCTGTCTCAAAAAAGGAAGAAAAAAAAAGAAAAAAAAAATATATATATTATATATATATATATTCTTAAGTAGTTAAATAATAGAGCCATATAGTTCTGGATTATTCAGTCCATTTCCATTGCTTTAAGGATGAGAAGAGTGGTGTTCCCTTTTATGTTAAGGTATATTATCCTTAATCTTTGTATTCTTTTCAGGAAGTGTTTGCATTGTTGACAGACTTATCTGAAAAGAATCATTAAGACTATTCCAAATCGTAGTGCAGTCAACTATATCTGAATTAAAAGCTGAGTTGAGAAAGTGGTCAGAGTTACTACTAATGTCTGATTTTATGATTCACAGCTTCGAGCTGGATGATGATTTCACTGCCATGTACAAAGGTTAGTTCCCATTCTCAGTTACTGTTTCTGATGGGGACATTGCCATGTGACTGTATTAATTAAATTCTCCTTTTGGTTCTTAGTTCTCGATGTGGTAAAGGCTCACAAGGATTCCTGGCCCTTTTTGGAACCTGTGGATGAATCTTATGCCCCTAATTATTATCAGATTATTAAGGTATCTTCGAAAGTGCCTTCTTGGGTTTTGGGTTTCATGCTGCTTGTCATTCTGCAGTCAGGTCTCGAGTGTACATTTGGCTCCTGAGCATCAGGTGCTATCAAGATAATGTTGCCTTTTAGGGACAATGAGATGTTTGGTTTGGGGGGTTATCTAGTATATTTTAATTGAATAATTAAGTGTCCTATTTTAGATCCCCATGGATATTTCAAGCATGGAGAAGAAATTGAATGGAGGTTTATACTGTACCAAGGAGGAATTTGTAAATGACATGAAGACTATGTTCCGGAATTGTCGAAAATACAATGGGGAAAGTAGTGGTAAGTGGGAGGGAGTTTGTGCTAGATGCATGTCTGTCCATTAGCGTATGCAGAATAAAACGCCTTCCATGACAAATGTGCATTATCAGACTGACGTAAAAGCTGTCAGATTGGCCACTCCCCATTCTTAGCCAGGAGCTCTTCCCTTTGCCAGAACAAGAGAGTGAAACAGGAAGCTGTCTGGCCACAGGCCATTTGTCACCCTGCAGACCAGGCTGCGTGTAAGTGGTCCCAGCCCTCCTCGCCACAGGGAGGACTGAAGCTAGAGGAGCCCACTGCCCACCCTTGCTGCCTTGCAGCTAGTTCTGGGGGTGAACACTGGCTGTAACAAGTGCTCTGAGCCACACCCCTGCCTATCATTCTTAAATCATTGTGAGAAGACAGCGTCGTAGCTCTCTAATATCATACTGTAAGTGGTCCCAAGTCCTGAAACTTAGGGTTATTTATACACACACTCAGATGCCTTCGTTTTTTAAAACTAAGCAGATTCAGCAGTAGTATTTAATAATTTTAGTAGTTTATCCTTAAATAATTACATTTCTCCTGATTTGAGACAGCAGTCCTGGAGTCACTGTCTCAGCCACACGGCCTTGCACTTCCGTGAACAGAAACCATGTCTTCATCCTTTGAGCACAGCTCCACAAGTAATACACCCCAGTGGGGAATTCAGCATGGAGTACACTCCACTTGTATTTAAACTATACCTGCAGGTCAGTCCTTTTGTTTTTCTTTCAGAGTACACCAAGATGTCTGATAACTTAGAGAGATGTTTCCATCGAGCAATGATGAAACACTTTCCTGGTGAAGATGGGGATACAGATGAAGAATTTTGGATTCGAGAGGATGAAAAGCGGGAGAAAAGGCGGAGCAGGGCTGGGCGCAGTAGTGGGAGCCACGTGTGGACTCGCTCTAGAGACTCTGAAGGGCCCAGCAGGAAACAGCAGCCAGTGGAAAATGGAGGAAAATCATTGCCCCCTACACGCCAGGCTTCGTCCTCTCGGGATGATCAGAGCAGCAGTTCTGCACAGCCCCCGCAGGATGCAGGCACCTCGAACAGCCGGAGCTTCCCCCGCCCCCTGCATTGTGGCGGAATGCCCAGCCAGGCCCCCCTTTTTAACCAGATGGTAAGGAGGTGATCTCCAAGCTCCTGGAATCACAAGGAAGGAAGGGCTATCCAGTGGGCACTTCCTCCAAAATCATTACATGGGTGATTTCTTTTTCTTCGTTCATTCTCCCCTTAGTTCAAATTTTCCTTTCTCTTACTCATTTGAATTGTATATTCTCAGTATGGGCTAAAGTTGGGATTAAATAAAGGCTGGGAGTGGGGAGGTGCACATACGGGGTCCTAGCTACTTGGGAGGCGAAGGCAGGAGAACGGTTGATCTGAGCCCAGGAGTTGGGCACCTCCTGGGCAACATTGGAAGACCTCAAGGGAAAACAAAACAAATATGCTCCTTTTGTGTGTAAAGCACAGAAGTACATATAGTACATAAACTGTACATATATGTGAGGCATTAAGTTTCAGTAGTAGTTTGCCATTCATGACACAGTTGTTAAAAGGGGTCTGGGTATGCCAGGGATGGGTGGTTTAAAAAAAAAAAATGGTGAAGAAACACTTTTAATCTTCTCTGTCCTGCAGGGAAACTACTACAGAATCAGGACTGGCCCTGCCCAGGGTGGTGCGTGTACTAGCAGTCCTTAGAGAAACCCTTATTATCCACCCAATATCAATTGGTCTTCTCTTCTCCACCTTCTTATTCCAGAGGCCAGCAGTGCCCGGAACATTTGGCCCTCTTCAAGGAGCAGAGCCCACCAACTTGTATGGCTCCTCTCAGGTCCTGGAAGCACACCCAGGAGAGCCCATGCAGCACCAGCCCCTCCCTGTGCAGGTAAGCATCCAGTGCAGAGATGAGGTGGCCAAGGCCCCTCAGACACAGTTTAGAGAGAGAGGCTTTTCCATATCAGTGAAGCACATTACAAAGATCTGCCTTGCTGTACTTTTTTTGGTACCGGCAGTCAAACTCAAGATCCTGTACTTGCCAAGCAGGCCCTTGTGCCGCTGAGCTGTATCCCTGACCCTCTTGTGTGATTGACTTTGACCTCTTGTCTTTTTGTTGCCAGCCTGCAGTTGGAATTGGCAGCCACCGAGGACCTCAGCTAGGTGCTCCTGAAGAAAAGCCAATGTGTGGGGGACTGACGCACCTTTCTAACATGAGATCCCACCCCGCCTCCTTGCAGCTTGGGCAGATGAGTGGCCCCAGTCAGGATGGAAACCTGTATGCTCCAGCTCCATTCCAGCCAGGGTTTATTCCTCCTCGGCATAGTGGCACTCCAACTCGACCCCCAGATTTTGCTGAGAGCCCAGAAGTTCCTCCCAGCCACATGTATCAGTCATATAAGTACCTGAATCGAGGACACTGTGTTGTCTGGAATGGGAACCATGGTGCTACCAACCCAGGACCCTTGGGGCCAGATGAAAAGCGCCCCCTGGGGCCAGGAACCTCTCACCAGCCTCGAACCCTTGGTCACATGATGGATTCCCATGTGATGAGACCACCTATCCCTTCAAACCAGTGGCCTAAACAATCGAGCTTTCTACCTCATGGAGTTCCTTCCTCAGGGTATATGCGACCACCCTGTAAGTCTGCTGGACATCGGTTGCAGTCACCTCCAGCCCCAGCAGCAAGTTCTCTATTTGGAGGGCCCTCCCCATCCCTGCGGGGGGTACACGGAGGGGACTCCATGATGGACAGTCCTGAGATGATCGCCATGCAGCAGCTATCCTCCCGTGTCTGCCCACCAGGTGTGCCTTACCACCCCCGCCAGCCCACTGCCCCCCAGTTCCCTGGCCCTTTTCCACAGGTAGCTCACTCAGCCTCAGTAAGTGTGTCAGCCCCTAAGCCTGCCTCAGGCAACCCTGGGAGGACACAGGGTACCAGTGAGATGCAAGAGCCTGAGAATGACCAAGGTAATTTTATCTGACTTTCAGCTGTATCAGCTGTTAATTTATCAGTAATCCTTTCACAGGGAATGGGAAACCAAATGTAAACTGATTTCCAGCCTTTCTCTCCTGAACAACTCAAGTTTGGGCTGGCATTATACTCCTTTTAGTCTAAAAGTCTCAGCATCACCCATTGTGGTGGCACACGCCTATAATCCCAGCACTTGGGAGACAGAGGTAGGAGGATCGCCATGAGTTTGAAGCCAGCCTGGGCTGACTGAGTTCAAGGTTACTCAGTTCAAGGTTACTGAGTTCAAGGTTAGCCTGACCTGCACGGTGACTTCGTTGTTGTTTTTTGAGACAGTGAGACCCTGTCTCAAAAGAAATAAAATCTCAACATCATAATAATGATTGTTGCAGTGATTGGTGAGCAACTCTCACTGTGTGGGGAACTCTTTTTGAGACGTTATAGAACTTGCTTAATTCTCAGAACAGGTTTTTGTGATAGCTACGATTAATATCCTGTTTTTCCAGATGAAAAATCAGAGGCACAGAGATACTACATTGTTGCTCTCTCATCCAGCTAGTACATAGTAGAATGAGATTTGAGCCCAGACTAGATCACCACTCACATTCTTAACCTCTGCTTCCTCACGCTGCCTTTCAAATTGACTAAATTGAAAGTCGTCACTATGGAATTAGTTCTCAGTCCCTGTTTCCTCCTCCTGTTCTTGAATATGTGCATGTGTCTACTAAGAATGATGATTTTAAATCTAGCAAAGCTTGAAGCTATTTCTTAGAAATGCCATTTAAGGAAAGTAAAGATTAAACTGAGAAATACAAAAATATTTTTGTGTAATAGTTACTCCTAGGGTGGATATCTAGTATATACTGTATGTAATTTTCTTACGTGTGTGGCTGGGAAACGGAGACGTTTGGACTCTCACAAAAGATAATAGAAATGCCTCAGGAAATTGACTTTACTTTTAGTATTTCCTTTTTGAAGAGGCCTTGGTACGCACTGGGTCCACCAGAGTTTTCTAGTAATGTTTTTTTAGGTGGCCTCTGCAATTCAACAGTTTAGAACACTCCCATTCATGATACCTCACTTTAAGTCTGTTTGCCGGTTACCAAGTTTTTTGTTGACTGAATAATGAAATATTTTTTAAAAAAAAAAAAAGTCATTATGGGGCCGAGGATATAGCTCAGTGGCACAGGTACCTGGCTGGCAAAGGCAAGGTCCTGAGTTTGATTCCTGGTACCAAAAAAATAAGTCACTGTGAATCCTTAATGTTGTCCTCAAGAATTATTACCAGAATAAAATTTCGAGCTCACTTGAAGAACTTTGTTCTTAGGTCATGTATGTGTGTCCTGTTACTGTGGCCTTATTTAAGACCATATTAATGTGCCAGTGTCAGTACCATAGTAAGATAAATTATCGAAGGCATTCAAAGAATTGAGATTAGTAAATTAGTTTGATTGAGTTTATTAAACTTCCGTAGTGCATTAAAGATGGCTTTGGAAATTTGGGGTTTTTTGTTTGGTTTTGTTTTTTTGCTGGAGGCCTCTTCTCTCAAACTTTCCACACAAGGAATAGGGATGTAGCCCAAGTAGTAGCACGTACGCTTAGCGTGCACAAGGCCCAAGGTGCCGTCTCCAGAACTTTTTAAAAACAGACTAAGTGTATTCACTCAGCAAATCTTGGCTAAGCCCATATTTTGAGCAAGTAGTAAGAATTCTGTGAGAAGACACTCCCTGTTCCTGTGGAGTTCTGTTTTAAAGGGCAGAAATTGGGCATGTGGCCTTCCTGAATGCCTGGTTATGTCCAGTACACTGCCACATTCCCCATCTGTGTCCCTGGAGTCCATGAGCCGTGAAGTACGTGCTGGCCTCTTACTAATCTGCCTGACTCCATTGCATAGGAGGAGGGAGACCAAGGTGCTTCCACTCTTTGCCAGGCCTTAATGAGCAGCCATAGGCTATACCTTTAGGTCTGCAGAAGGGCTTTGTAGGCCCCTCAACATCTTAACTCCTTTCAGGGACTGTTACAATAATCTAGCTGACACTTGAAGTGCCACATGTTACCTCAGCCATGGCCCTCTTCTTCTGCGTGCTTACTACATTCTTTTGTATTACCATTAACATTGTCATTTCAACTACTGAATTTCGTTCTGTTTTTTTCTTCCCCAGCAGAGCCCTTGCCTGGGCTTGAAGAGAAACCCCCCAGCATCGGTGCTTCAGAGGGGGTATACCTCAAACAACTACCTCACCCCACACCTCCCATGCAGTCTGACTGCCCCAGGCAGAGCTCCCCACAAGAAAGGGAAACAGTGGGCCCAGAGCTCAAAAGCGATGCCTCAGAATCTTCAGATCACTGTAAAACAGCGCAGAGCAAAACGACTTGGCCCTCAGGCAGCAGCTGCCCCAGCCCAGCTCCCCAGAGCTGTATGAGAGACCTCTCTGCAGCAGCAGGCAGAGGGCCTTTGCCTGAAAATGGAGTCATTGGCGAAGCATCGCCTTGTGGGTCCGAGGGGAAGGGCCTTGGCAGTGGTTCAGAAAAGCCACTCTGCCCCAGAGGCAGCATACTGCAGGAGACCATTCCGTGTACGGGGCAGAACACAGCTACACCCCCGTGCGCAGACCCCAGTTTGATGGCAGGCACTGTAAGCCAGTTTTCCCCCTTGTACATGCCCGGCCTGGAATACTCTAATTCAGCTGCACATTACCACATCAATCCAGGCCTGCAAGGGTTGGGCCCTGTGATGGGAGGGAAGTCAGCAATATCGCATCCTCAGCATTTCCCCCCCAGGAGCTTTCAGTCTGCCAGTCCTCATCCTGGAGTCTTTCCCCGGTACCGGCCCCCTCAAGGAGTGAGGTACTCCTACCAGCCACCCCCGCAGCCTTCCTATCCTCACTACCAGCGAACTCCTTACTACACATGTCCGCAGGGCTTTTCTGACTGGCAACGACCTCTCCATCCCCAGGGAAGTGCAGGTGGGCCCCCAGCAGGTCACCCTCCCCCCCAGCGATCCCTCTTAGATAGGAATGCTGTGGCTGATCTGCAAGGCTGTGAGACTCTGAGTGCCTCCTTAACCTCCCCAACTCGAACACATGCAGTGGCCGCTAAAGTCGTTCCAGCAGACGGTCAGAATCCTGGTTCAGAGGAAGAAAAGCCGGATGAATCTGTGGAGAGGCCAGAGAGTCCCAAAGAATTTTTAGACCTAGACAACCATAATGCAGCTACGAAGCGACAGAGTTCATTGTCAGCCAATGAATATCTTTATGGAACTCCTCCACCGCCTCTGAGTTCAGGGATGGGTTTCAGTTCACCTGCTTTCCCTCCCCATGGTGTGATGCTGCAGACGGGGCCTCCTTACACACCTCAGCGACCAGCCAGTCATTTTCCGCCCCGCGCATACTCCTCCCCAGTGGCTGTCCACCCACCTCACCATGCAGTGGCCACCCAAGCTAATGGCCTCTCTCAGGAGGGCCCCCTCTATCGCTGCCAAGAAGAGGGCCTGGGGCACTTTCAAGCTGTAATGATGGAGCAGATTGGCACTGGAAGTGGAATAAGGGGGCCTTTCCAGGAAATGTACAGACCATCAGGGTAAGATTTGTTTCATTGTTTCTGTTGAAAAAACAACACATTAAATTTTTTTTTTTTTTTTAAAGATGGGGTCTCACACTATGTAGTTCAGGCTGGCCTCAAACCTCTGGCTATCTTTCTGCCTCAGCTTCCTGAGTTCTGAGATTGTAGGCATGTGCCATCAACCAAGCTAGCACGTTAATTTTAAAAATAAAAATAAGCCAGGCGTGGTGGTGCACACCTGTCATCCCAGCACTTGGGAGGCTGAGGCAGGAGGATCGTTGCGAGTTCGAGACTGGCCTGGGCTATAAAGTGAGCTCAAGGCCAGCCTGAACTGCATAGTGAGACCCTGTCTCAAAATAGACCAAAAAAAAAGACCAAAAAATAAAATAAAAATAGCCTTAGGAAGGAAGATAAACTCTAACACTCTAGAGCCACAAAAAGCATGTGAGTTGATGATGGTGCCTTGGTAGAAATGTTACATTTCTCTTTTAGAACCCAATTTTAGCCAGGCATGGTGGCGCACACCTGTAATCTCAGCACTCGGGAGGCTGAGGCAGGAGGATTGTGAATTCGAGGCCAGCCTGGGCTACAAAGTGAGCTCAAGACCAGCCTGAACTGCATAGTGAGACCCTGTGTCAAAAAGACCAAAAAAAAAAAAAATTTGTCTTTGATATTTTTCCCCTGGTGAAAATGAATTTCCACTTAGTGCTTAATTATTTCCTCCTGTGATTTCAAATGGCATCTCACACACCGATTTTGACATTGGAAACCTGATAGCCACAATTTGGCTTCTATAGGCAGAAGCTGTTACAAGTTTCTGCTGAGTTACATTGACACCAGCCAAGGTAAAATGGGTCTAACTAGGAAGTAGAGAATGCAATAGTAAAGTTTACTCTTCATCTCTTTCTGTCCCTTGTGCTCACTTCGCCAGCACATGTACATCCCTTTCTGTTCCTCTTCACTGAGTGAAAAAATTAGATCTGTCCAGAAATGAAATGAGTGAAATTCTCCCATTCCGGGTTCATGGTCATTTTCAGGAATCTGGGAGGGCTGGGTCCTGCGGTGCTTCCTTACATGCACAAGAGTCTCATCACCCCCGCGCACACACACCCAAAAGGGGGACACAGGAAAAGAATCTGCCGTGAAGGAAAACTTCAAATTAATAATGTATAAGAGATGTTCACCCTGGAGTCTGAGGGAGGACTGCCACTAGTTCAAGTCCAGCACGGGCTACATAGTGAGTTCATTTCCTGGGGGGGAAATGCTGAGGATGCAATATTGCTGACTTCCCTCCCATCACAGGGCCCAACCCTTGCAGGCCTGGATTGATGTGGTAATGTGCAGCTGAATTAGAGTATTCCAGGCCGGGCATGTATAAGGGAGGTGTTCACTATGCCTGAACTATGTAGCGACACCCTGTCTCAAGAAAAGAAAACGTTCAGCCAGTTGCAATCATGCGTGTAGTGGTAGGTACTCAGGAGTTTGAGCCAGGAGGGTCACAAGTTTAAGGCCAGTGTAGGTTCCTTAGTAAGATTCTGTTTCAAAATAAAAGAATATAAAGGATTGTGGGGCTGCGTTGATAGAGCACTTGCCTGACATGTGCAAGACCCTGGGTTCCATTCCCAGCAACACACACAGGCACAAGTAAACAATCAGTGAAGTCTAAGCATTAAACCAGTACCCTTCAATTTAAAGTCCTTTGTGCCTCTCCCCACTGCCATTCTATCTCCCCACCAGGCTGTCTTCCCCCAACTAAAGTTTTGCCATATTTGGGCCTTTTTTTTTTTTTTTTTCATCTTTTTGAGACGGTTTCACTGTGCAGTTCAGGCTAGCAACAAACTCCTGGGGATCTTGTTGCCTCAGCCTCCTCTCCTGAGTGCTGGGATTACAGGCATGCACCACCATGCCCAGTGCCATATTTGCTTTATATGTCTCTGAGTATGTGTGTATATTTTATTACTTTACCTTTTTTTTCTAAACCATTTAAATTGCAATCATCACAGTCTTAATCCCTAAAAGGCCCCAGTAGGCATCTCATAAGAATGAGGGTACAGTCTCAAAACTGTTAGCATAACCAAGTTAACACAGCAGTCCCTAATATATAGTCTTCATTTAAATTTCCCTAATTGTGCCTTAAACATCTCTTAGAGATATGATTTTCTCCTTTGATTTGTTTCTGATCTGTATCCCAAGGCTCATGAATTTATTTTCGGTTATTTCTGTTTGGCCTCCTTAATTTATAGCAGTTGTCCTGTCTTTCAATTTTCAAAGAGTAGGCCGGTTCTCATGCAGAGTGCCCCGGGTGGTAGATGTGTCCCATTGTTTGCTCACGCTTGGATACTTCCCGTTGCATTACACCAGAAAGCACAATGTTGTCCTGGTACTGATGAGCCCAGGCTACGTCACCTGGATAACTAAGGCAAGGTCTTCACAATTAAAATGTTTTCCTTTGTAATGAGTATGTCTTCACTAACTGTTAACTGTTCCCTTCTTATGGCTATAGGGTGCACATGCATCCAATCCAGTCTCTGCCCTCATTCCCAAAGACCCCAGCACCGGCGGCATCACCAGAACAGCTACCACCGCATAAACCCCCAACGCTTCCTCTGGATCAGGTAAGAATTGCTGCAAATTAGAGCTTTTCTTACTGCTCCGGGTGTAGGGCTTAAATATAGTTTGAGTATCAATTCTCTGAAGCCTGGGACCCCAAAGTGTTTCAGATATGTTCAGATTTTGGAATATTTTGCATAGACTTTGCCTAATCTGCGTGCCTAATCAGGAAATCTGAAACACTCCAAAATGTGAAACTTTTTGAGTGTTGTCTTAACAACAACACAAAAAAAGCTTTGAATCTCAGAGCAGTTCAGATGAGGACTCTCAGCCTGGCCAGGACCACCCTGCTGGGCTAAGAATAGCTTGCCTGCCTGCCTGCCTGACTGCCTGCCTGCCTGTTTACTATTGCAGTCGTGAGGATTGAACCCAGGGTTGTGCTCGCCAGGCAAGGGCTCTACCCATGAGCTTTACCTCCGGCCCCTGAGAGGATGTTTTAAGGTATTCTGTTAATACAGGAACTTTTCCTGAAAAGTGCTTCAGGTACTGTAGGCACCCAGATGAAAGCAGTCCCTGAGGCCCTGCAGTCATCCTCCACACCCAGAGAGACCACTGCAGAGGCCTCAGAGGAAGCTTCTCTACTGTTCTCTACCTGGCTTTTTTTCCTGTTGTTGACACAGTGACCTGCTGTACCAGTGTTTATTTAAGCCTCGTTTTTTCTGATCTGCCTGCCCCCCTTTCTTCTGCCGCAGTCCTGGTCTGTCTTAGCCTTCTCACCTGTTCACTTGAGAGCTGGGTCAGTTAAGGTTGAAGTCAGAGTGGCTACCTTTGAGAGCTGCCTCTGCCAGGTACTACGCTGAGGCTGCTGGCCGCAGTGACTCGTGTAGTGCCTTCCCTGGTCCCATGAGGCCCCGTGAGCAGGGGCAGCATTTCCTAATAAGCAGAAGTCCTCCATCTGCTACGTGGTGGGTGCACTGGTGGCAAGCCTGTTTTATCTTTTAAGACAAAAGATGCTAATGTGTGAGTTCTTTTCTTTTTTTTTCTTTTCTTTTTTAACTCAAACCTCAGTACTCAGGTTTAATTGCTATGCTGGCACTGTGGGATAAATGGGTTTGGGTTGCACTTTGGGCACGTCTCTGAAAGGTGTGCCATCAGTGGGCTGGAGTCGTAATTCTGGGATCCAGCTCCCACAAGCCTTCACTCTAGGAAAAACTAGCCATGTAGGTGAGCACATGTGCAGCTCTTTGACTTAATTTTTGTAGCATCCAGGGCTTCGTGCATGCTAGGACAAGTGCTCTATCACTGAGCTGCATCTCTAGCCCCTTTAGTACAATTTTTAATTTTTTGTGAAAAAAAGTTATTCTGTGTTTTCCTCAGAGCTAGTTCAAGGAGGAAACAGCCCCCAAGGGAATGGAAAAGCTGCATATGAAGAAAACAGCACACTGAGGATTTGGTGGTGACCTTGCCCAACTCTCCTCCTGTCACCCTACTCCACACCTTCACGTGAATCACACCTTGCCACCCGGAACTGGAGCCACTCTCCGGCCTTTGAAGCACACTCCACAGACGACAGACTTGCAGCTTGCAGCTGCCCCAGGCCAGCAGGCTGCTTGCACTGGCTGACACAGTTGGAAAGAACAAATGGACCTGGAGTCCACACTGACTTTTCCAAATCTTGCGACTTGTTCAGGGAAATCACTTTGTACTGGGAGGGGGCCTAGTGGGCATGGAGTGGTGCTTTTAACCTTTCATGAGCAGCTAATCTCAGGTATATCTTCGGGGAAGGGACTACTTGTAGTATTAATGTTTTTGGAGCTGGGTCCAGTTTACAGAATTTTCATGTTGCCTTTTAAAATAATTTTTGTTGGTGGTGAATGTATTGTACATAAAGTGGGGAGGGTGGGAGGGGACGTGGAAGAGATGGGAGTCCCAACTGTGGTGGGCACACAGCACTGGAGTGGTCTGTGTTTACAATCATGTCACACTGAACGCTTTGAGGAGCTGGCCAAGGGGGTAGGCAGCGTCTTACCTTGTCATCTGCCACTGTCTGTTTGCTTAGTGTGTTGGCCAGCCTCGAACAGCCAAAGGACTTCCTTCCAGTTGGCCTCAGAGTACAGTTGACTTGTCACCCTCCCATTCTGTCTTTCAGTTTGAGGCAGAGCACTCTCATGTGGCCCACTGGAGCTTCACCCCAGGAGACAGGCTGCTCTCGCTCTGGTGACCCAAGTCCTGGACTTGGGAAACGGTGTCCCTTCCTGATTTTGCCACCAGCCTCACCAGATACCTGCAAACCAGTATCAGGAATTGGGATCACTAGAGTGTTATACTTAGAAGATAAAATCACCCTCTTCGCAGGCCTGTTAGGACTGTGATCTAGAAGGCATCACACAAAGCTTTCTGGCACAAATCACATTTTGTGAAAGTGACTACTCAGGTTTGTATATGTTAGTCTCAATAAAGGAATTGCACAGGTTTGAATAGGGAAAATGTATTCTATAGATTCACAGTTTGAATTTAGCAATATTGCAGTGTCTCTAGTTACTCAGTTTTAAGTGAATCATAGTAAAATCAGTCACAGTGATTTAAAATAGCTGTCAAGGACAGGTTCTTGGAAATCATTTGTCGTATCAGTCATAGGAGACAATTTTCCAGTATTAAATTACTTTATTATTGTTTTAGAAGTGAATTACACTGGATTCCCTCTGTTTACTGTTCTCTGTTTTGTTTGATATGTCACCAAAGTTAGGACCCACATTTAAACTTTTGAATATGCCACAAAGAAAAAACTAAGAACATCCTACAGGTGCAGGTCTTTTCAAAGAATAGCATATTTTAAAATATGCTTTTGTGATCATAGAAAAGTCTTCATAAAATATCTGTTTTAGATTTTTAAAAAGTTAACTGCGAGAGGGTTCGTTGTCACCCTTCATCTCCATTTCTGTTATCCTCTGGTTAACAGTCTGCTATACCTGTGTGATCAGAGGGAAGGGAAATAGGTTGCACATCCAGGATACAGAGTATGAACCAAGACTCCCACTCCAGTAGAAGGGAATTCATACCAGCTAGTGAATGCTTATTGTCCTGAGGCTGTTGCTTAGAGCCCAACCGGTGTCAAGTTGAACAGAGATAAAAAATAGATGTCTTGGAAGTACGGTACACAAAAGTATGACTTTTTCTCTAACAGACTTTCAGTTTAAATTTGGTGTGTTTCCAAGTGGACGGAGTTGTCAGGCTGAATTTTCATTGGATCCTAAATCGTGTCAGACTAGGAAGGACTGGCACAGTCTCGTTGAGAAGAGTAAGCAGAGGTCAGAAGATTTGTGGGTGGATCTCCTCTGCCCTTAGGCTCCTGAGCTAACTCGGTCAGAGTGTGACTGCTTCTGTTTCTATGTTGATGCAAAAAACAAGGAGAAAGAATGAACAGCGGATGAGGGCCAGTTAGACTTGTTAGACGTTTGAGTTCAGAGCAGGGGCATTCTGCCGCCAACAAAGGAGAGGCCTTGGCTTCTCTGTGGGGACACAATAACCGCAGGGCCTCTTACTTCCATGTTGCTAACCTGGAGCGGTTGCCACATGCTCACTGCTGAGATTCCTTCCTCCTCACTCTTCCAGAGCCCCCCACCCCACCCCAGGTACCTGTTGCTACAGAAATGCAGTGAACAATGCAGGGGGTGGAAGGGGTAAATTCCTTTATCCTTAATCTCCCTTCTTGGTTTAGGTTGAGGAGAAAATACTAAGAGCAATAGGAAGCTGAACTACTATGTTATAACACTGTGAACAAAAGCAATAGCAAAGTGGTCAGCCTTTTGCCTCCTGGGTGAGATTTTGATCATCACAGGGCCTGATGCTTCATCTTCATCATCATAGACGCAGCCTTCGTTGGTCTTTGAAGCGCAGATCTGCAAAGAGCTGCCTGAAGGTGCCAGACCTCAGAAACAGGACCTGAGCTGCTGTGACCCCCTCGTCCACTCACCACTAATCAAGATCTTTTGTTCTCCTGTCTTCCTCTAGCACTTCTCTTTCCAAGTGTCTTAAGCACAGCAATGTCTTAAAGCAGATGCAAGTGCATTTGCCATCTTCTCCATAGGGAAGGTGTTATGTGATTAAGTAACTAGAAAATAGTATGTAAGGGTGTCCTTGCTGCTTTGCTCTCAGGCTAGACAGACGTCAAGATCTTGTAGATCTGTCATCTTCTCAAGTGTGCTGCCTGTCTGTGGTCCCCAGCAGGGCATGGCTGAGATACTCCCACTCCTGGTTGATTTAACATGCATGACTTTTTGACCTGATTAGATTTGTTAGTAAGCTAGAAACTGTTTCAAGGCTGAAGAGGGAATAAAAGATCCAGAAAGAGAAGTAGATCCTTTTGGAAGATTCCTGGTTTTATTTCCCTTCTGAAACCTGTCCATTAAAAAAATAGAAGAGTTGGCTGTACTAGCTCAGTAGTAGGGCCCTAGCCTAGTCCGTACAAGGCCAGGGGTTCTCCACCAGAAACATAAATCAGCAGAAGCTATTGGCTAAAATTTGTTTAAAGTAGACAAAGGTAGAGACTATTTAAGGACAAAGTATGCAGAATTAGCCATGTGTAGTGATACATGTCTACAATCCCAGCATTTTGGGAGGTTGAGGGTGACTTCGCAATACCCTCTCTCAAGGGTCAGCAATGGAGCTCAGTGCAAAGACCCTGGGTTCAGTCCTCATTACTGTGGAGGGTGGGGGGTCATAAAATTTCCATTTCCACTTGTTAGAAATAAAATGGAGCCGGGTTTGGTGGTATATGCCTGTAATCCCAGAGGCTGAGGCAGGAAGATCACTGAATTTGAGGCCAGCCTGAATTACAGAGCAAGACCATGTCTCAGAGAAAAAAGAAAACCGAACGCTTTTCCCTGTATCGGGGTCATGTTGTTAGCTGTTCTGGCAGAGCCTGTGTGCTCTTTGGCAGCACTTGTGTTCCCGTTTGTCTCTGACAGCTCTCAGACTGTGAGTCCTCCTGCTCATCTTCCTGAGTGCCTAGACGACCCTAACTCTGGGAGTCTTAGTTCTATCAAAGCTTAGGGGTTGTTTTTGGTTTGGGTACCGGGAATCAAACTCAGGACCTTGCGTTTGCCAGGGAGGCACTTGTGCCACTGAGCTATATCCCCAGCCCAAAAGCTTAGTTTTTGTCTTATTTTATTCATTTTGGTTTTCTGAGACAGGGTCTTGCTGTGTAATTCAGATTGGCCTCGAACTCCTGAGTGCTAGGGGGTACGCCACTGCACATGGCAAAGTTGAGCATAAAATGTCAATTCATTCTCACCTTCCTCTTAGAAGTACTTCTCAGGACTAACCACTTAGTGGCATTATTCCATGGCATTTATATGTCATGAGATTATTGTTTAGCTAATTCCGGCTGTTATCACAGGGTATGCTGAATGCTGTCCCAAACACACAAAAATCCCAATATCGGTGTCATAGGTGGGTGTAGTAATCCCAGCACTTGAGAGGCTGATGCAAGAGGATAGCTCCCGAGTTTGAGGCAGCCCTGGGCCACATGGCAAGACCCTATCTCAAAAAGCCAAAACAATATATTGCCACAACAGCCTTACAACTTATTTATTCTTTTAGTTCATGCCATGTGGTTGAACATTTCCCCCCAAACTTTTTAATGGAAGTTCAAATTTATAAATATATTGTTCTTAAAAGCTAATTTGAGCTGGGCATGGTGGCGCACACCTGTAATCCCAGCACTCGGGAGGCTGAGGCAGGAGGATCCTTGCGAGTTGGAGGCCAGCTTGGACTACAAAGTGAGCTCAAGGTCAGCCTGAACTGCTTAGCAAGACCCTCTCTCAAAAAGACAAAAAAAAAATAATAATAATAATAATTTGAAATGACATAGGAGTCTACTCAAGAGTCTTAAGGCAAAAACAGTTCGATAGTATCAGAATCCTGATAGGGTTTGTGACGGCCTTGATTTTCCAAGAAATAAAGACAAGGGGTTTTCTAGCATTATTTTCCCTTTTGTGTTTGTCTGTTGGTCATTTCACCCGCTGGCCAGGTTCTCCTCAGGCCCACATCAGAGAAGTCAGCTCTTTTTCCAGTGAGTGGTGTAGTGTTCAGGCCTGGGGTGCTGGGGCGGTCCTGCCCCGACAGCTAGCTCTTTGGACAGTTGCAGTGGGGGCTGAGCGTGGAGGTGGTTGTTTGTTGTGAGGAACTATTTATGGGGTTGGGTTTAACTGGGTGAGAAGACATAGCTCCCAGCTCTACAGTGCAGCCTTAAGACCCAGAGCTTTCCTCTGCACCCTCTGGAAAGCAGAGTTGGGTGAGCCTCACTGCATCTAGGCTCAGATGATCCGTGACAGCTTTTCTGCAGGCTGGGTGTAATCCCCTGTGCCTGACGCCTGCTCACATGCAGGGCCTGCCTCCTGCTGGAATTGAACTTTGTACCCAGTCTCTTCCTCTCATTCTGACCAGATAACAGGCTAATTGTCCTACGCATTTTTGGGGGGAGCGTTGGGTGGGTGGGAACAGAGGTATGGATGTTAAGTTATTAAAGTGCTGATGCCCATGGGTAGACAATGCGGCCCCTTCTCTCCCCAGCGGAGCCCAGGTACCTCACTCGCCTGCATTGCTGCCGCTCCTGGGGCTCCCCCAGGCTCCAGCAGCCTGCGGCGCTCAGCATTAGGCAGTCAGCCCCTGCTGCGCGAGCCCAGAGCCCTGTGAACCTTCCTGGCCAGTACTGGAAAGGGCAACCCTATTTATTTTTATATTATGTATATTTTGTGGTGGTCTGCTGAGTCCCTGTTTCACTGAGAGCGACACTTACCTCAATAGTTAGTTCAATATTGTGTATTGGATAATTTGTTAAAAGAACTTTTTAAAAAGCTTTTGAACCTTGGAGGTCTGTAGATTTATTTCCATATGAACTGGTTATTTTGTATAAAGTACATTCTTAAAGTAGCAAGACTGGTGTGTGTCCATGTGTCCCTTCTATCAGCAGGGCAATGCAAGCTCAGACTCTGCCGTGAGGATAAGGCTTTGAAATAGGCCATAATGCGGTACCTCAGTCCTGACACCTCAAGGACCAGGGTCTGGGGAGGAGAGGACGTAGTGGCGCATCCCTGTAATCCCAGCACTCAGAGCGAGGCAGGAGGATTGCCCAGTCTGCACAACTCAAAATAATAAAAGGCTCGAGATGTAGCTCAGTGCAGAGGCTCTGGATTCAATCGCTAGTACCACCAAAACTAAAAAAACTAAAAAAAAATCTGGGTGACAGCCCACTGCAGGGCATATAACAATACAAGGTCACCCAAGAGATTAAAACAGGAATCAGTGGACAGTGCTAAACCATGTCAAGAATGAAATAATACACAACTGCTGCTGTCAAACCGCCCCCCCCATGCATCCCACCACCACCTGGGCCATGTGTGCATTGCTAGTGAATGTGTCATCCATGTGCTACAGTGACTTGGAGCTCCTTCCAGAGTAGGGTTGGCAGGGCAGGCAGAATGCGGTTGATGATGGGAGCTCCAGGTGGAGCTGTCTGTTAAGTGGCCTGAAGTAAGAGCTATAAATTAAGAAAGGTGCTTTCATACCTGCCCAGATTTTTTTAAATTTTTCATTTCTCATTCCTGGGAAGTTTTTTATTACAGGTTGGGTAAAGGAAGGTGCTAGAGACACATGCTTTAGTTAGCTGTAGTCTTAAGACACCAAAGCTCCTGGCCTGTTTAATGCTCAAAGAATTAACCTTGTAAACTACTAACCTTTGTGCCATAAAAGTCCAACCACATGGGGCTGGGGATTTAGCTCAGTGGCAAAAGCGCCTGCCTGGCAAGCGCAAGGTCGTGAGTTCAGTTCCCGGTACCGGAGAAAAAAAAAAAAAAAAAAAAAAAGTCCAACCACAAATAGCACCATGTTCACAGTTGGTTTGAAGTCAGGCATGGTTAACCTCAGCACTTGGGAAGCTGAAGCAGGAGGATTGCTGTGAGTTCTAGGTCAGCCTGAAGTACATTCCCAGACCCTGGCTCAAAAAAACCAAAGCAAGGAAGCAAACAAAGAAACAAACAAAAAAATGTGGTTTTATCACTTTCTAAGGCAATGACTTTTTTTTGAGACAGGTACTCACTATGCAGTTCAGGCTGGTCTTGAACTCTCTTTGTAGCCCAAGCTGACCTTGAACTCACAAGATCTGCCTCAGCCTCCTGAGTGCTGGGACTACAGGCGTGCTCCACCACGCCCAGCAGCAATTACATTTTTTGGTGTTCAATTGTTTGGTGTCAAGTTGTCCCTATTGGTGCACTCTTGGAGAATTCCATCCAACTGCTGCTTTAAAACTGTTCTCGGCTCAGTTATTCTTCCATAAAAAGCAGTTCTATGAAATGTCACACATTTTTACATTAGTTACAAATACATATAATTTCCAAAACAAAAATCAACTTTAAGAATCATTAGGGAAAAAAAATCATAGGAAACCCGAGTTATCTTTTGACATTTACTTGTTAACCCTTGTAGGTAACATCTTACACAAAGATTATCCCAGACCAGGAGCTTCTTCATAAAACAACCAGGAGAAAGATCGGGGTGAGATTTAGGGAAGAACAGAAGCTGACACTACTGGGGATGTGTCCCAAAACCCTAAGTCACCTTTACGTTTTGACATTTGAACATATCCGAAGGGGCTTCTTAAAGATGAGCGTCCCCAAACACGCCCTTACTGGGAGGGCACTGTAATGTTCTGAACAAGTAGCTCCTCTCCTTGCAGTTTTACCGTAACCCCCACACCGTGCGTGCCGCTGGGCTGGGCAGTTTGGAGGTCATCCTCCCTGGGGGCTGCTGGAGAGTTGAGTGGCCTGTGGCATAAAGTTGTTATGCAAGAGGTGCCTCTGGCAGGAAGGCCACCAACTCTCCTTCCCCCTGGGCGGCCGGGTTCTCTGCCAGCTCGGCTGTAAGAGACAGAGCTCTGAGTGTCCACACTGTGCACAGCCTCGAAGTCCTTGCAGCCAGCGCCCCACCACAGTCTGTTCTTGGCCCTGCAGGTCTGTTTTCCCCGCCCCTTGGCCTTCCCTTGGGTTTCTAGAAGGACAGTCAGGCGTTTGTTTCAGTCCCGTTTCTGCTACCCAGGCTCACTCCTTTAGTTTTTTTTGGGGGGGGGGGGCGTCCAGTACCAGGAATCGAACTCACGACCTCATGCTGGCCAGGCAGGTGCTGTGCCGCTGAGCTAAATCCCCAGCCCCTCACTCTTTTAGTTTTCTTAGGCAATTTTTGCAAACCCTTCAATGCAAAGTAGACTGACACTAGCCAAGAAGGCAGCTGGAAAGTGCCCAGACCAGGCTACTGTGTGCAGAAAGCCACCCCCTCCGCATCCCTGACAAGCATAGCAATGCAGGTGCCCTGGAGGCCGTTTCAGGGTTGGACAGCCACCGCTTGCTCCTAGAATCCTGACTCGAACCTCATTCTCTACAGCAAATGACAGGGATCAGTTGCCCTATCCCAGCCTGTTAAAGCTGGACACATTTTTTGAAATGGAGCTAGGTCCTTGGATTGCATGCATGGGTTTGCTTTGAGAACGGATTTGACTTTTTAGGGGGAAGGCAAAGAAGATCAAAGTGAAGCCTGGCCTGGGAATGCACCAAGGACTAAGATGATGATGGACTAACTTGCAGTCAAGCTTTCAGTGAGTACTGTTGTCCCTCAGTATCTCAGGAATTCGTCCTAGATGCCTGCAATCCACAGATGCTCAGGTCCCTTATATGTAATGCCATAGTGTTTGCATATAACCTGTTCCCATCCTCCAGTGTGTACTTTAATGTCAAGATTACTTATCATATGGCAATGTAAATGTTGTCCGTGGATGTTCAGTACAATGGAACTTGCTGTTTTTCAAACATTTTCGGGTCACAGCTGAATCTCTAGGTGCAGAAGCCATGGGCACAAAGGATGGACTGTACTTACTAAATACCCACAGCATGCCTGGCACTTCGCCTGGGTAACTAGAATACAAAAGCAGAAAAATAGCTGCCTCTGTTCAGAGTTCATAATGAAGACAGAAAAAATGCAAGTTGCAGAAAATCTGGAATGCAGTGAGGTGCTAGAGTACAGTGCATAGAGTACTAAATTAAGGAATGATTTTCTGTTCCCTCTAATCAATTTAATTGGACAGAGCTTAGTGCACAAGCCTGACAGGAAATGTTCAGTTCCAGCAGCACTTTTACTCTTAGTCTTGTTTTTAATTAAGCTAACCTAAAATGATGATGACAATTCAAAAGTTTCAGCTACCAATAATTATGACATCCAATATAGTATATAAGGAACATCTCCTGGAGATTTGACATAGACCTGTAGAACCGGAGGTGGTTTTTTTTGGTCTTTTT